GAAGGGGCGGGGAGAGGGGGATCATATTCACCCACTCACAGATTTTCTGGGTTAAGAATTGCTGTTTCCATATGCATGGAATCAACTTAGCATGCAAATGTATAGACTGGAGGAGACGAGATGAGTCTTCCACATGAATGAAAGTCTCTGCCTGGAGAAGGGAAGGCTGTGCACTCAGTGTGTTCCTCCTGGTCCATTGGCAGCTTGGGATAAGGGGAGAGAGCTGCTGTGAAGGGCCAGCAGCGTGGGAACTGCCCAGGGTGAGAGGGGAGAAGGAGGCGGAGCTCGCAGAGGGGGTGGTGGTTGGATAATGGTTTGCTGCAAAGCTGACAGACACCCTGGAACCATCTCCTGTCAGTAACTCCACTGAATGGACACGCGGACCCTGTGGAGGTGGAGGGGTACAGGCCGATCCCCAGGTAGATACCCCTTCTGATTCTGCCTTCTTTACCCAGCACCTGGGATCCTCAATCTGTGACGTTCAGGGGTGAGCAGGCATTAAGACAGGGATCCCAAACACTGACAGTCTATAGCTAGCTTCAAAGGATCATAACCCTCCTCAACTTCAATGGAAAAGACACGAGATTTAAATTACATATTTTTCTTCAAAAAGTCCCAAACCTTTGGTGCTTGCTTTTATTCACACGGCATACAGTTTGGTTAACACTCACATATGGGGTAATATTGAGGCTCAGAACACCCATATTTTCAGTACATAAAGAGCCCATTAGTCTGGGGTGGCCTGTAGTCTCCTCAAGTCCCAGAACCTCCATAGTGGCAAAAGACAGGGAATTCCCCTGGGGCTGTGGCACATTATTATTTAAGGCCTCAAAGTTTAACTGTTTTGTTTGTGGACTGGGCATTCTGGGCACTGCGTGATGGGACCCTGGAATGAGGGAGAAGAGAAACTGCTTCACCCTACCTTCCCACTGCACAGGCTGGTTTTTATGTTTTGTTCTTGATATCACACATATTTTGTAAACTCAGACCACACCCCTTTGGTGGGGTTATGCAAGACAGCTTAAGTTTCTCAGTCAATCCCTTTTGCCTTCCAATTGGTTAGTCAGTCTCCATTAAATTCCAAGTGGAACTGTTGCTTTTTAAAACAATAAGGTGGTTGTTTCTACCTACAACCTGCCTTTGCCTGATGTGATTATTGTTAAAAATGTCCTCAGATCAAGGCCGGGGTTTTATTTGGCAATGACAAGAGTAGTAATTTTGATCCTTACTCTAAGACATTACGGAAACAAGCTCTGGTTTTCGTTTTGTTATTGAATTATCCGTACGGCTTCCTTGGCCCTTCAGCACAGAATACCATTTGCTGATGCTGTCGATTGTTCTTTAATGCATTCAGTAATATTTATTGGGCCCCTTCTGAGTATCGTCCCCTGGGTAGTATGGGGTGTCTTGTGTTTCTGCTTTCATGGAGTTGACAGCAGCTTGGACTGGAGTTCTCGCCTCTTCTCTCCCTCTCACGACTCTTTAAGCCAAATTCCAATTGGAATGAGGTATTCTGGAAGACTCCTTTGGTTGTTACCAAAACAATCTTTACATCTTTGCTTCAGAAGCACAAGTGAGTGAGTGGCCTCTGGACATCCTCAGAACTGACTTTGTGAGGTGGGGGCTCCAGGGATTCCTGACTGTGACCCTTTCCTTTCAGGGTTAGGTTACTGCCTGTGCTCGGTGCAGGAGTCCATGTAAGGGATTTGGCCAAGGGAGAGGCTGTCCCATGTGGGTTCCTGGCCTCAGAGCACCTTGCTGCGCAGGGTCGGGGGGTTGGGGGTGGGGGTTCTGATGTCACCTCCAGGGCTGTGAAGGTGCAAGTTCTGTGCATAGTGTTTCCAATTAGAGTAAGTTAACTCAACAAGAAGCCCACCCATTCAGCACTGCATGGTCCCAGAGATCCTCTCCCCTGAGCAAGCCCCATATCCCTGACCTATTCTTTCCCCAGTTCATACAGAATAAGAGTAATGACCAGATATGCATTCCATCCTGCACCCTACGGGAGGGGAGGAGTCTACTGAAGGCCAGTCAACAGGACAGGAAATGGTTTCATCATTTCATCATCAGATGCTCTTCAGTGATGGCCCAGGAGTTGGACTGGGCACTAGAGAGAGGAGAGGGGAAAGCCAGAGAGCTGCCCAGGTTCCTAGTGGACCTCTGAATGTGACTTCAGGCTGTGCAGTAAATGTGGATGGGCGAGTAGGGGTCCTCCAGTCAAATAGCTCATTTCATGTGGAACAGAAGGACCAGAAGAGGACAGTTCAGAAGGTGGTGGTTAAAGGGCACCATCATACCGGGAAGTTCATGTTCAGAGCTATCAGCTTGCCTCTTGCCTACCAATTTCAGATTCATTATTTTGGGCCAGTCTGAACTACGTCTCAATACTACTCTGAGGAAATGCTTGATAGTATAGATTCAAGATCAGATAATGGCAATAATAACAGGAAATACTGAGAGAGCACAAGCCAGGAGCCAGGCACCCTTCTCAACTCTGTGTTTAAATTATTTAAATCATTTAATCTCCTCTCAACCCAAAGAAGTAGGTATAATTGGCATTTAGCCCTGGGTCACAGTTGCAGCCTGTGATTTATTGAGCTCTCCTGGGACAACGTCCAACTCATCTTCATTACCGTGGGGCACTGTTGCCTCCCCATTGTGAGAGGCAGCCTGTCCTGCAGGCAGATGACTCAGCCGCAGCCAGCACTGGGACCCTGGGCACACTGCCTCTTCACGCCTCTGTAAGATGGGGACAGTCACAGTCCTACCTCATCTGTTGGGAGGATTAGATGAATTTAAATTAGAGGAGTGCTTTCTGCAAAGGAGGCACTATTATTTTTCTCATTAGTTATTTTTTTCTTTCCCATCTTCATCTCCCAGTGCCCCTTAACAGAGCAGCCATGCTGGCTAGTAAGGTCCCGGACCTCCCTGTCCCTGTCATCTCTTGGTGCCTTTGCACAAGCTGCTGTCCCCTTTGCATAGAATACCTTTCCATCCTTGATTCAAACAAAATCCTTCCTCTTGCTAAACTCAGCTTAAGTGTTCCCTCTCAGTGACTTTCCTTTAGTGCTCTTTCCTGTTCTCCAGGTAACTGTTGGGTGTGTGTGTGTGTGTGTGTGTGTGTGTGTGTGTGTGTGTGTGTGTGGTCTCAGTATCCTCGGGTCATTTTTCTATCAAATGGCTTAACGATTAACAGCTACCTAACTTTTACTGAGCTTATTATGTGCCTGGGAATGTGCCAGGTGTTTTTCTTGCTATTTTACAAAATATGTTTACAGCTCCATGAAATAAAGTTATATTTTGTTAAAATAATTTTCTGTGTCTATCTCCCCCAGTACATCTCTGTGGTTATTCATTCATTATCTCTGGGACCTGGCAGAGTGCCTAATTAATACACAGTGGGGGCCTCACCAGTGTATAAGGGGATGTATTTTACCAACAGCTATTTGAATCCATTATAATTAAGTAACTCTTTTAAACAGTCTTTGTGCTTTAGTCATTGCAAAAACTCACTGTCAAAACGTTAGAAGGAACTGAGAATCCAGATGAAGGGAGTTAAAACTGCACTTCCTGCAGCCCTAAAAAGTGTAAGCAGCCTGCTCAAGGACACAGAGCTACTAAATGGCTAAACCAGCATCAAGATCATTCTCCCTGCCCCCACAGCCCAAGCTCCTAACTGCTGTACTGCACAGCTGATCCCACCCTAACACACACACACACACACACACACACACACACACACACACGAATAGATTAGAGCTGCTGTTAAAACAGATTAGAAGAGCGGAAATTTGCAATTGAATCATTCACACACATAACGTTGCAATGCATTAAAAATCCAGATTTAAGAAACTCACAGTATTCAGTCTTTTCACGTTTTCACACTTCCTGTTCCCTCAGTTATCGAGGATAATCCTGGGTGTCTTAGTCAGCTTTTTCACTCCTGTGACTAAAAGATCTGACCAGAACAATTTTAGAGGAGGAAAAGTTTTGAGGGCTCATGGTTCAGAAGTCTCAGTCCATAGAAGGGGACTCCAGGTGGGGGCAGAACACCATGGCAGAAGAGTGTGGCAGAGGGAAGCAGCAGGGAGATGAGCAGGAAACAGAGAGATTCCACTCCCCAGGAACAAAATATATACCCCAAAGGCATGCTCCCAATGACCACACCCTACCTGCCTTCAGCTACCACCCAGTTAATCCCATCAGGGGAATTAATTCACTGATTGGGTTAAGACTCTCATAAATCAATTATTTCTTCTTTAAACCATTTTATATTGTTTCACATGTAAGCTCTTGGGGTGCACCTCACATCCAACCATAACACTGGTGAAAAAATCAATAAAATATAGATTGAGAGTTCAGAGAGGTAAGCTAGAGAACAGCTTTGAAATCAGAAGAACAGGGGGCTGGATCCCTTGCTAAGCCACCCGGTGTGTTATCAGGGACAGGTTGCAAAACCTCTCTTGGTCTTAGTGTCTTCTGAAAAAGAGAAACATTTTGCAACATTTCATGAACTTAAGAAAATAAGAAACATTTTGCAACATTTCATGAACTTAGACTTAATATATATTGTCAGAGATGTGCATTGGGTTTGATGCATGGTAGGCCTTGTTGCCGGGTCTCCAATGATGATAGCGATGACTTGCCAAACAGTCACCTTGACAAACTGTCCGTCCCCCCCATGTGCGGTTTCTTTCCCAATCCTTCACTTTAATTCTCATGGCAATTTAACTTTTATATTATTATTAGATGCCTTTAGTAACTTGCCTCACAGTCAGTTTCTGAGAAATTCAATCTCTTCTCCACAGGGTCTCTTTTGAGATTAAAGAGGAAAAAAAAAAAAGTGGCAAATTTAGGGTGTTAAGAGCAATTTTCATTTAAAAGTCGATCATTGTTTTCATTCCCTTCTCATTAATGGTTTCTGTTTTCCTTTCCCAGCCAGTTACTCCTTACTTCATTCATGTTGCTAAAGTGAACCCTCTTGTTTCCTTGCAAGATGAAAGGAGACAACCATGAATGAGCCACTGGATGGTTTAGCAAACGCTTCTGATTTCCCCGATTATGCAGCTGCTTTTGGAAATTGCACTGATGAAAAAATCTCCCTCAAGATGCACTACCTCCCTGTTATCTATGGCATCATCTTTCTCGTGGGCTTCCCGGGGAACGCAGTAGCCATCTCCACTTACATTTTCAAGATGCGGCCCTGGAGAAGCAGCACCATCATCATGCTGAACCTGGCCTGCACCGACCTGCTGTACCTAACCAGCCTCCCTTTCCTCATCCACTACTACGCCAGCGGGGAAAACTGGATCTTTGGGGAGTTCATGTGCAAGTTCATCCGCTTCGGCTTCCATTTCAACCTGTACAGCAGCATCCTCTTGCTCACCTGTTTCAGCATCTTCCGCTACATCGTGATCATCCACCCAATGAGCTGCTTTTCCATCCACAAGACTCGGTGGACGGTGGTAGCCTGTGCGGTGGTGTGGATCATTTCGCTGGTGGCGGTCATGCCCATGACCTTCCTGATTACATCAACTAACATGACCAATCGATCCACCTGTCTTGACCTCACCAGTTCAGATGACCTCACCACTATCAAATGGTACAATCTCATTTTGACTGCCACCACCTTCTGCCTCCCCTTGGTGATCGTGACACTTTGCTATACGACAATTATCAACACCCTAACTCACGGACCTCAGACTCAGAGCTGCCTTAAACAGAAAGCTCGCAGGCTGACCATACTGCTCCTGCTCGTATTTTATATATGTTTTTTACCATTCCATGTCTTGAGGGTCATTCGGATTGAATCTCGCCTGCTTTCCATCAGCTGCTCCATCGAGAATCAGATCCATGAAGCTTATATTGTTTCTAGACCCTTGGCTGCTCTGAACACATTTGGTAACCTGTTACTCTACGTGGTGGTCAGCAACAACTTCCAGCAGGCCATCTGCTCAATAGTGAGGTGCAAAGAAAGCGGGGACCTTGAGCAAGCAAAGAAAGTCAGTTGTTCAAATAACCCTTGAGATACTTCATAAACTCAACCAAAAATAAAATCCTATTGATAATTTACTTACACTTCTGAGAAGTCCAGAATATCCCCTTCAATGAACTCCCAGCTGATACTGTGCATTCAGGTAATTATGGCTAAAGTCAAGGGCTGGGCACTAGAATTTTCTACAATCTGCTTGTTGGGATCTTCCTGTAGGTAGAAATAAGAGATGTATGCTCACCAGTAAAGCAATCAAGCAGAATTATAGATGACTGGACTGAGGGGCATCTCAGGGAATCTCTCATTCTATCAGCTTGTTAGATATATGTGGAAACTGAAGTTCATGTGAGTTTCCTGGATCTTAAATTAGTGCCAAGTTAGAAAAACAAAACAAACAATCTCTTTGCTCCAAGTTTCATGTCCTTCAAACTTTGCTTTGAGATCATTGAACTGGGTCTGTTCACTGGGTTTGGTCAGTTGTATAAATTGAAGCAAGCCAACAAGATTCATTATACAAGATGTCAATGCAAATAGTACCTGCAAGATATGGAGGGTGCTATATCTTTATTGTTGTAGAGCATCTTAAAAGTTGTTAACTGAATTTATAGGACTGATTAGCATTTGTAATTATCAATATGACCTGGGGAAGGAGGTCACACTTTCTAACAGCATGCATGCATTGGGTGTGAAGTCAAACCTAATAATTTTTTGATTTCTATGGGGAAACACTCCAGGAAATATTAATTATCTTTAAATATTTTGTTCTTTTGTGACTATAAACAAAATATATCATTGAAACTGCTGAATTTATTCTTTGAATTGTGTCTGTGTGTGCTCGATTATCAGTAAGCGGAAATATTTGAGAAAATATCTGGTGTAAATATTTAAATCCCTAGTAGGTGTGTTGATACAATTAATAAACTTACTTTAATTAATTGTATATCATCTTCTGAGAAGTGTCTGTTCAGGTCCTTGGCCCATTTATCAATTGGGTTATTTGGTTTTTTGGTGCTTAGCTTTTTGAGTTCTTTATATACCCTAGAGATAGTGCTCTATCTGATGTGTGAGGAGTGAAGATTTGCTCCCAAAATGTAGGCTCTCTGTTCACCTCACAGACTGTTTCTTTTGCTGAGAAGAAACTTTTTAGTTTGAATCCATCACATTTATTGATTCTTGATTTTAATTCTTGCACCAAAAAAGTCTTATTAAGGAAGTTGGAGCCTAATCCCACATGATGGAGATTAGAGCATGCTTTTTCTTCTATTAGACACAGGATCTCCTAGGTCCATGATCCATTTTGAGGTGAGTTTTTTGCATGGTGAGAGATAGGGTTTTAATTTCATTTTAATGCACATGGATTTCCTGTTTTCCCAGCACTGTTTGTTAAGAGGCTATCTTTTCTCCAATGGATGTTTTTGGCACCTTTGTCTAATATAAGATAATTGTAGTTTTGTGGGTTAGTCTCTGTGTCCTCTATTCTGTACCATTGGTCTATCAGTCTGTTTGGGTGCCAATATCATGCTGTTTTTGTTACTATTGCTCTCTAGTATAGTTTAAGGTCTGATATAGTGAATCCACCTGCTTCACTCCTCCTGCTAAGGATTACTTTAGCTATTCTGGGTCTCTTATTTTTCCAGATGAATTTCATGATTGCTTTTTCTATTTCTATGAGGAATATCATTGGTATTTTGATTGGAATTACATTAAATTTGTATAGTGCTTTTGGTAGTATGGTTATTTTGATAATACTAATTCTGCCTATCCAAGAGCAAGGTCTTCTAAGGTCTTCTTTGATTTCTCTTTTTAGGGTTCTATAATTTTTATTATACAGATCTTTCACCTCTTTTGTTAAGTTGATTCCCAAGTATTTTTTGGGGGGGGGGCTATTGTAAATGGGTAATTACCCTTTCTGAGGATTTGTCATTGATATACAGAAATGTATTTGATCTATGGGTGTTGATTTCATGTACTGCTACATTGCTGTATTCATTTACTAGTTTTAAAAGTTTTCTGGCGGAACTTTTTGGGTCTTCTGGGTACAGAATCATATTATCAGCAAATAGTGTCAATTTGAGTTCTTCTTTTCCTACGTGTATCCCTTTAATTTCTTTCACCTGTCCAATTGCTCTGACTAGTTTTTCAAGAACTATGTTAAATAGAAGTGGTGAAAGAAGGCATCCCTGTCTCTTTCTTTCCAGTTTTTAGAGGGAATGCCTTCAATTTTTCTCCATTTAGAATGATGCTGGCCTGGGCTTAGCATAGATAGCCTTTATGATGTTGAGATATGTTCCTTTGATTCCTAATTTTTCTAATGTTTGAACATGAAAGGGTGCTGTATTTTGTCAAATGCTTTTTATGTATCTATATGATTCTTATCTTTAAATCTATTGATGTGATGAATTACATTTATTGATTTCTGTATGTTGGACCAACTTGCACCCCTGGAATGAATCCCACTTGATCAAAGATGATATACAATCAATCAACAAATATATGAAAAAGTGATTCATCATCACTAGCAATTAGATAAATGAAAAATCAAAACTAATCTAAAATTTCATCTCACTCCAGTCAGAATGGCAGCTATTATGAAGACAAACAACAATAAGTGTTGGTGACAATGTAGGGAAAAAGGTACACTCATACACTGCTGGTAGGACTGTAAATTGGTGCAATCTAGGCTCAGGGTTAGAATAACACTAGTGGAAAGCAGTATGGAGTTTCCTTGGAAATCTGGGAATGGAACCACCATTTGACCCAGCTATCACTCTCTTCGGTCTATACCCAAAGGACTTAAAAACAGCATACTACAGGGACACAGCCACATTAATGTTTTTAGCAGCACAATTCACAATAGCTAAACTGTGGAACCAACCTAGATGCCCTTCAATAGATGAATGGTTTTTTTAAAAGTGGCATTTATACACAATGGAATATTACTCAGCAATAAAACAGGATAAAATCATGGCATTGGCAAGTAAATGGTGGAGTTAGAGAAGATAATGCTAAGTGAAGTTAGCCAATCCCCCCAAAATAAATGCCAAATGTTTTCTCTGATATAAGGTGACTGACTCATAGTGGGGTAGGGAGGGGGATCAGGGGAGAAACAGAGGAACTCCAGATAGGGCAGAGGGGTGGGAGCGTAAGGGAGGGGAATGGGGTTAGAAATGATGGTGGAATGTATAAATAATAATGGACATTATTATCCAAAGTACATGTATAAAGACATGAATTGGTGTGAATATACTTTGTATACTACCAGAGATATGAAAAATTGTGATCTCTATGTGTAATAAGAATTGTAATGCATTCTGCTGTCATATATAAATTTTAAAAATTGATAAAATAAAAAAAAGAAAAAAATAAATAAACTTACTTTAAAATATAGGCTGCCCATATTTTCTCTGTGTGTGAAAATGCAGCCTTGTCATTATTGCATTGACATGACACTTATTTTCTCCATGGTGAGAGAACAGAGATAAGCTTACACATCTGTTGTAGAAAGGGCTGTAAAACATGACTTAAGCAGAGGAGAGGGTAGCATAGGAAGGCTCCACGCCCTCCAGGGTTGTTTAGGGTGTTGCCTCTGATTTAGATCTAAGCCAGCTTGTTCACCAGGGACCTTGGCCAGGCAGGCAGGGGGGAGTGGGAGAGGCAAGCTGATGGCTCTGAACATGAACTTCCCTGCAGGATGGTGCCCTTTAACCACCACCTTCTGAACTGTCCTCTCCTGGTCTTTCTGTTCCACAAGAAATGAACTATTTGACTGGAGGACCCCTACTTGCCCATCCACATTTACTGCACAGCCTAAAGTCACATTCAGAGGTCCACTAGGAACCTGGGCAGCTCTCTGGCTTTCCCCCATCCTCTCTCTAATGCCCAGTCCAACTCCTGGGCCATCACTAAAGAGCACCTGATGAGCCTTTATACCACTGGTGTTATTCTAGCCCTGGGCCTAAGCCCTTTCCTTTCTCTCCGCTATTCCTTCTGACTTCAAAAATCCCTCACACCAGAGAAATGCTACCTCCGCCTCCTTCATGTCCATCTTACCTTGTCTCTGTAGTTTCTTTTGCTGTTTCTTTTTCTCCCCACCAGTGTACAGAAAAATAAATCACCTCTCTTTCTGAAATGAATTCTTCAGCTGTATCTATGATCCTTATTTTGCTCTCTTTGGGACCTGGCTTTAATGCTTAATCCCACTTTCTCAAGTTTTTAACATTTTTATTACCCTGGATCATTGACCTTAGCTTGGGAGCATGCATAATTTCCCATTATCCTCAAAAAACCTTCCCTCGATTCAGCTCTTCTGTCACGGTGTTACCTGACCTCTTTCCCACAGTGGCGGGTTAGGTGCAGATGACAGCCGGCCCTCCAGGGCTCTGCCGATTGAACTTGATCACCGAGATCTGAGCTAAATTGAATTCAAAGGGTCAATTTTATTTTCCAAAGTAAAGAGATCTGGGCTAATTTTGCTCGAGGTTGCATTTTGAACTGAGGCCAAAAAAAGGGATTGATGACACTTCCCAGGCTAGAGTGGGCCCCGGGTGACCTTGCCTCATACAAACAGCCAAAAAAGAGAAAGTATGAGGACAAAGGAACAGAGCTCAGACTGACTCTGCTGGAGGGAGCTACTTGGGTGGGTGTGCTGGCAGGTTAAGGACTGGCTCGGGTCAGGCTCCCTGCCCCAGAGCACAGGCACACCAGGGAATCCTGTCCCCAACCCGTGAGGCACAGTAACACCTCCCGGTTGGGTTTTAACATTATATCAGAAATTTTCAAGCACAAAACTAGAGAAAGAAGTGAATTACCTCACACACCTCTGTCTGAATTTCGCCATTTAGTCGCTATCCTATCATTCTTGCTTTATCCATCTCTTTCCATGTTTGGCGGCTTCAACATGTAAAGGCAAGTTCTAGCCAATATATAGTTTCACCAATAACTGCTTCAATATTGATCTCCTTTGAAACACACCAAACCAAACCAAAGTAAGGATTGTTCTTTAATATTATTGAATAGTAATCTGCTTTTCCTTTCTCTGTCTGCCTCAAAAGTGTCTTTTTTTATATGTAGTTTTTGCCCAAAATCAGGATACACATAAGCCCCACGCCTTGCATTTCATTGGTATAACTCCAGCCCTCCTCCTAATCTATCAGAGCTTCTCCTTCCTTTATTGCCACTTCTGTCATGAAGAAACCAAGTGGTTTGTCCTGTAGAATTTTCTACATTGCAGGTCTGGCAGTTTTTAATTTCATTTTGTTATTTATTGTGTCTCTCCAAGCCTCAGATCTGCTCATTTCTTTTCCATCTTATGACCCTCTTTCTTTCTGATCTATTTCAAGATCTCTTGTTATCTCCCATTTACCATCGAGCTTATGCAGTGAGTTTTTTATTTCCATTATTTTACTTTGGGAATCTATACTTTCTATTTCTCTTCTCAACTTTCCTCGTTCACTTAGTAGATTATATTTCCTTCAACTCTTTAAACATATTTAAATGGCTGCTTCTTTCTTCATAATTTTCAAAGCAGATCTAGGGTGGGACTTTCTCTAGGGCATGGCTTTTCTGGCCGTTCTACAGTTTTCTGTAGCTAGATGAGATG